CTTCCATCGTCCATCGAGTACTCGTTCAAAATCGAGTTGGTTTTGAGAGCAGTGCAAGGTCCCGTGAGAAGGAAACAGGAAATGCTCTCACGAGCTTGATGACCTCATGGTAGGGCGACCGGATAATTCATTGTCCAAACGAGGACTCTTTCAAGAGTGACAGGGGGTCTCCTAAGATGACAGGCATGACCCAGAACTATCACTGGCTAAGGGAGACAAAGTGTCACCCTGGCTCTCCCTTGTGCTGCCGTCAAGATGTGACAGCCCTGTCTTCTGGGACAACACAAACCATGAGGTCGTCATGTCAACACGAATGTCCTGAGGATGACACTGTGACCCCAAACTCACAGTGACCATCCTGCTGTTCTCGATGAACAACTTAGCCAAGGCCGCACGTTGACACAAGACACCGTGGCGTCTAAATCAGGCGATGGGCCTGAGAACCGCCAGCTCCCCACGACGTTCGTCACGTTGGCTCCTGTCATGTCCTGAACAGTGTGCGGGATGCTCCCCCCATGCCCGAGTCCCTGCCTCCTCGTCTAGGCTGCTGCTCTGATGGGAGATACACCATTGCAGGGCACTGGGCGAAGTCAGGCAGGGGAAGGCGGGTTCGGGGGCAAGACCGGCTGGAGGAGAAGGCAGAGCAGGGGACTTCTGCTCAGCTGTGCATGTGACTGATGTTACGGGTTCGTCACCATCCCTGAGGAAGGAGGGACCGCAGAGAAAGGGGATCTGTGGGAATGAGGCCCTTCCTTCTGGCAGAACAGCCCAGACAATGACTTTCACACTGTTCATTTATAATTTCCCGGGTTTTCTTTGAGTCCCGGGTCCCCTGCGTCACATTCCTCCTGAGGCATGATGGGACAGCTCTGCAACGACCAGGGGCCACTTCATCACCAGCACTGTTGCCTCTGGCCCCCCATCCTGGAATTCGTCACCTCCGTGTGACCCTCCTTGGCATTTAAATAGCTAATCTGGTGCTGGCTGCCCCGTTCCCAGCGTGTAAATCTCCCGGTGACTCTGACCTTCACAATTCTATTTATTCGGTATTTCCTTCATAGGAACTGACTTGACCTTTGCTAATCATTAAAAGTGTTCGCTGAGGTATTCACCAAAGTCATTAGATAAGAATTTCTGTGAACGGCGTGTCTTGTGACATTAGCTTGTCCCCCAAAGTAGAAAATCAACGGAGAAGAAAGTTTTGTTGTTGTTTTGTTTAGATTTTATCCTCACTTGAGGACATTTTTCCATTTTTTGTTCAGATAGAGTGGGAGGGAGAGGAGGAAGCGAGAGAAAGAGAAACATCGACGTGAAAGAGGCACATCGAGTGGCTGCCACCTGCACAACCCCAACTGGGGCTGGGGACAAACTGCAACCGAGGTACGTGCCCTTAGCGGGAACTGAAGCCTGGTCGCTCTGGACCGCAGGCCGCTGCTCTAACCGCTGAGCCAAGCCGGCCCGGGCGGAGAAGAACGTTTCTGAGAAGGGCTGGGGTGGGCCCTGCGTGATGAAGCAGGCATTCACTCGTTCATTCGTTCACTCGTTCATTCGTTCACTCGTTCATTCGTTCACTCGTTCATTCGTTCACTTGTTCATTGGGGGTGCTTTCTCGAGCTCCTGCTGCTGCTCAGTCCTGCTCACAGCAGTGACACAAAGCCCCAGGCTCCTCACAGCCGCAGTCCCAGGCGGGTGGAGGAGGGGCACGGACACTGAGTCCCCACAAAATACTCTGCGTCACAGGGAGCTGACTGCTGTGGGGAATAGGAGGCAGGAAGGGTGACAGAGCCGACGAGTCGTCTTTTAAAATAGGGTGTTGAGCCCTGGCCGGTCCGCTCAGTGGTTAGAGCGTCTGCTCACCGACCAAAGAGTCGCGGATTCGATTCTGGCCAAGGACTCATACCTCGGTTGCAGTTTGTCCCCAGCCCCTCTGGGGCCGTGCAGGTGGTGACCAATCGATGTGTCTCTCTCACATCAACGTCTCTCTCTCTCTCTCCCCCCTCCCTCCCACAGAGTAGCGTTATTACTGGTTAAGATATGGAAACAACCAAAGTGTCCTTTGATGGATCAGTGGATGAAGAAAATGTGATATATATATTGCATTATACATATAATATTCCATTATATATCTCCGTAGATCTATATAAATTGTAAAGAGTTCTGCTATCTTCCGTCTTCCCTATTTTCAGCTTTGAGACCTATAATCATTTACAAATAATTCATTAAAGTTTATTTTAATTGATTTGAGAGAGAGAGAAACATCGGTTTGTTGTTCCACTTATTTATGCATTCATTGGTTGATTCTTTTATGTGCCCTGACTGGGGAGCGAACCCGCAACCTCGGTGTATTGGGACGAGGCCCTAACCAACTGAGCTACCTATTTTGTTTAATTACAGGAAATCAAAGAAATGTGCAGAATTATATGATATAAAAGTTAAACATGGCTTCCTAAGGTTATCATTGAAAAGAAGAGCATTCTACTTCCTACGTTCTCGATGGAACGATGTTTTGAGAGCCGATGTCAATGTGAGTAAAGGGACCCAGGCAGTACAAAAGGGTAAATCCAACTCCTGTCGAGTACACAGCCCCGTGTGATACACACGGTCAGTTGCCGGGACAGAAGAGACTTCATTAGTGTCATTTTTCTTCAAGGACACTGCCCGGGGCAGCTCTCGGTCAGCCCATTGGCGGGATTCAAAAGCAGACGCTCCCAGAGATGCCAACCTTCCTATAACCAGGGCATGTCTACCAGCTTCGCCTGAGTTAGAGTTAACGGCATAGGCAGGCACCTTTAATTTGGTTCTTTGTGAAAACAGAGCACCCGGGACAGTTGGCTGGCTATTAAGAACAAACTGACAGTCCGGCCAGTATGGCTCAGGGGTTTAGCGTCCACCCAAGCTCTGAGAGGTCGCAAGTTCGATTCCTAACCAGGACGCACGCCCAGGTTGTGGGTCCGATCCCCAGTGGGGGCATGCAGGAGGCGGCCAGTCGATGTTCTCTCTCATCCATGTTTCCATCTCTCTCTCCCTCTCCCTTCCTTTCTCTCTAAAGTCAATAAAACAAACAAAAAAAGAGAACAAACTGACAGATGTAACAATCTTGGATATTTTCAAGCAGGGCAGATAAACCTAGAGCCCTTCAGTGGGTCACAGGCCACAGTCCTTATACACACTCAGAAATCTGCGAAGCTCTGAAAACGCAAGCTTCTGGGGGACTCACCTGGAAGCAAAACCAGACTGAGCAGAACTTGTCTGGTGAACTTGACCTGGGGCCCCTGAAGCTATGTATGATTTTTACATGTCCCACCCACTGGGGAGCTGGTCACTGATCACAGGGTGGTGTCAGTGTTCCGCAACACGCACTCTGAGCGCTCGTCGTCTTTCTAAGAATTCTTTTCTTCTGAAACACTGATGACCTCCGGGATTTGCATAAGGGTCTGTAATTCTGCCCTGTGTTTGCCGTTTGGGGCTGAAGGCTCTGGCTTCTTTCTTCCTTAAGAAATAAGGCCCGCCCTGGCCGATTTGGCTCAGCGGTATGAGCGTCGGCCTGCGGTCCAGAGAGACCCGGGTTCAGTTCCCGCTAAGGGCATGTACCTCGGTTGCAGTTTATCCCCGGTCCTGGCTGGTCGTGCGGGTGGCAGCCACTCGATGGGTCCCTTTCACATCGATGTTTCCCTCTCTCTCTCTCTCTTCCCCTCTCTCCCTCCCACTCTATCTAAACAAAAAAAATGGAAAAATGTCCTCGGGTGAGGATAAAAAAAAAAGAAATCAAGCTGAAGGCTGTTTCCTTGCCTTGAGAATAGGGCAGGGCCCGTCTCCGGGCGGCTGGGGCTTCGGCAGAGCAGGTCCCTGTCTGCCGTGTTTTCTAGCTCACAGGGGCCAGTGCTGTGCTGTGCTTTGCTTCATGGTGATGAAGTTTCTGGCAGGTTCCTTCCCAGACAGGGCACAACCTTGGAGAGAGATGGAATGGATCTGGGTACAGCGGGCTCCTGTCTTGTCACCCATCAGTGACGGACAGTGGGAATTCGGAGACATCCCGGTGATTGGCCAAATGTGTGACTCTGCGCCATATCAAAGGCACTCTTTGTCTTTGGGATCACAGAGCCCTCCGCGAACGGGGCCATTGAGAGTCTGACAACTCACCCCAGTCTTCAGTGGGGACCCCTCCTCTGCCACATCCAGACTGCGCCAACCCAGGCAGCCAGTTCCTCACAAAAAGCCCACACGATCCAGCCTGGCTCACGACCAACTTTCTCCATGATTTTCACCGTAACTTCCACTGTTAGGGAAAAGGTTTCTAGTGTATGATCCTGGGAGATTTCTAACCTGGTAATTCTCTGCTTCTCCCCACCTTCAGCTCTGGTATTTTCACCTCCCCAAACCCTTAACACACAATTTAGAGGCAGAAGTGTTGACCTGAAAGATATACAGATTCTTAGCGTTCGGGAGGGGTCAGAACCTTCTCCCAAGCAGGACCCCCAGTGTGCTCGGCCTGTGGGGAGAGGGGGCCCCCTGCACAGCAAGCCCATCTCTGGTCAGAGCAGCTCAGCTGGGTCTTCTTGCTTCTATCCAAGGCCTCTGGGACTTCCCAGGGGGTCTGCGGACTGGAAGGTGGCCTGTGGCCTCTCCCTTCTCCTTCCGGGGTTTACCACCCTGGCTCTTGGACACCCAGACAGAACATGGATTGTGCCGCTGGTACCAGCCCAGAGGCTTAACACTTGGCTCTGGGGTCAACGAGGGATTAGGGATTCGGGTGTAGGGGGTGTGTTTGGGGGGGGTGATGTAAATGTCTCTGGAATTTAAAGCTGTCCCAGAACACACCTGAGTGTCCAGTAGAACCGGGACTTTTACTCTGAAACCCGCAGGGCCCATGAGAAAGGCTGTCATTGGCCAGGCGCCCAGGTCGCCCAGACAGGGGGAGAGGAAGGGGGGCAAACCCCGCCCAAGCCCGCGAGGATGGAGCTGGCACCAAGGACTTCTGGTCAACGCCGGGGCGGCGGGCCAGGCGCTCAAAGGTGCAGCAGCCAGGCGGCCCGAGTCCCGGGCACCGCAGCTGGGATCAGAGTCCGGGCGGGACGCAGACGCGGAACGGGAGAAGCGCCAGCCCAGAGGAGCTGCCACCCCGCAGAGGGGGCACAGTGTCTTGGGCGGAGCGGATTTCTTCCCGCGCGTCCAGGGCACCGCCTGGGACCCGCCAAGCCCGCCGCGAAGCTTCCTCTCAGAGGGGACGCAGTGGCCCTTGACCCTGCGCCCTTCGCCCGGCGCCACCTGCCCGCTCAGCCGCCGCGAGGAAGGGGCTCCAGCCAAGGACAGGGGTCTGCGGCCATGGCCGAGGCCACAGAGCCAGAGGGGGGCCCGGGTCCCCAGGGGTCGCTGGAGGGCCAGGCGCTTGTGGCGGAGAGACCGGACGAGCCCGGAGCCGCGGGCTCGGAGGCGAAGGGGGAGGAGGCGAGCGAGGGCGCCGGCGAGACGCCGAGGGACGAGGGGGCGGGCGCAGCCGCGACGGCCGCGGTGAAGCGGGGAGAAGACGCGGGGCCAGACGGAGGGCGCGCGGGAGAGCTGGCGCCGGGCGCGGGCGGCGACCCGGGGGCCGAGACGCGGGGAGCGGGCGGGGCGCAGGGCGGGGCGGAGGCCCCGGAGGGCGCCCCGGAGGGAGTGGAGGGTCCCCGGGCAGGGGAGGAGTTGAGCGGCCCGGAGCAGGTGGAGGACACGAGCCCCGGGAGCGGCGCGCAAGGCGAGTTCCCGGAGGAGGCGCAGGGGGAGCCCGAGGAGCCCCCGACCCCCAGGCCAGAGAAGGGGGCGGCCCGCGGCCCCGGGGAACCGGGAAGCGGCGCGCCCGGCGCGCCAGGGGCCGGCATGGAGTCCGAGGGGCTGGCGGCAGTGGCGCCCGGGGCCGAGGGAGAGCCCGGGGCCGGAGGGGACCGCAGCCCGCAGCCCCAGGGGGAGTCTCTTGAGGCCACAGTGACGGACAGTGGGGGCTGCAGCCTCGGGGGGCTTGTAGGGGAGTTTCGGGGTGCAGAGGTGGGAGCTGCGGAGGAGGCTGGGGCCCAGGGGACAGAGGAGGCAGAGCGGGCAGACGTCGGTGAGGACGGGGACCAGGAGGGACTCGAGAAGGAGGTGGAGGTAGCAGAGGAGGAGAAGCAAGTGCTTGGCCCAGACGGGGCAGGCGAGGACGCCGCCGCCGGGGGCGACGAGGGGGCCCCCGGAGGCAGCGCGGATGGCGAGACCCGGGCCGCGGAGCTCAGCAACCACCTGGCAGAGGAGGGCAGCGCCGAGGGCGCGGAGGTGACGCGCCTGAACGGCGGCGGCGAGGACGGCGAGGCGCCCGAGGACGGGGCTGCGGGCCGGGAGCACGACATCACCCTCTTCGTGAAGGTAAAGCTCGCGTTCCCCAACGCTTACAGCGGCCCTGCCTTTCTTAGCCTTGGTCTTCTCAAGTCCCAGAGGGATGTGGAGGATCCTGCTCTGGCGTCCGGACTGTCTCCATGCGCTTCTACCCGGGGAGGGAGGCGGGCAGCCTGGGCCTCACCGAGCGGAGTTGGGAAGTCCGCGCTGGTTTGGAAGCAGAGAGGTTGGGGTGGACGTGGTGGGAAGTCAGGGTGCAGGGCCATCATCCCCACTGTCCTTTGTCCTGAAAATCCTAACTGACCCTTCTAGTCAGGAGGTTGTTAAAGAAATATTTTCCTTTCTTTTTAAAACCACGACAAGCCCTGTGGATATTCAAAGCAATTTCCGCCAAAAGAAGCTCTGATACTTGAAGTGGAAACATGTGTGAACAGTGGGTTGTAATGTGAGAAGCGCCGGGCATCACCTCTCGGAGGCCAAGCCTCCGGCCAGGTTATCAGCTCCAACAAGGCATCCCATTCTGGTAGACCGATAAAGTCTGGGAGGAAAACAGCATTTTACTTAAATTATAATATCGATGGAACTTTTAAACATTTGTTTTGGAGGAATACGGGATGCTGGTGACTTCCACAGCGTCTGCCTTTATGCCGTGGTTTCATCCTCAGTTCAGATGGGAGAAGAGCAATGATTTTGATGAGCGGTCGTCACCGACACAGCTGAGGACGTTTTGAGTTTAAATGGGCATTTTTACATCTCTAACTTAAGGGGCAAGGTCTAGCTGCAGCTCACACGGGGATTTTTGTTCAAAAAGGCCCTTTGCGAAAAGACCTTCGGCCAGCCTGAGATAATGAGGCAGATAATAAGGTCAGGAATGCGCGCTGTGTGTTGAATCATAATCCTTCCAAAATACTCGAGGCTTATGGAAGCCCGTTGTGACCGAAACCTCCTTGACTGAAATGTAAGCACATTCTAATAAGCAAAAAAAAAGAAACATTCCCAGAGTGATTAACACCAGGATTTCCACGGTTGTTTGAGTGGAGAGGGGGTTAGGGAAGAAAGGGCGAGCGTTTGTTTCATTTTTTAAGACCCTGGGACAAGTGAAGTTTCTGTATCGGGACCTAACCTGAAGGCACAACCCCTCGGGAGGCCACTGGGGACCGGAAGTCTGCAGGGAGGTTCGGGGAGGGGGAACGCCGGCTCAGGGTGCTGCTGGGTGCCCACACCTGCTCCTCGGGGCAAGAAATTGCTAGTGCTCTCACGTGTGGTTACATCACTGCAGCCTCTTGATACAGTTTTGAAATATAGTAACCGCTTTCCACCTAGTGTTCCTGCTTCCGTCCTTGGCCCCCTCCAGTCTAGTCCCTTGATGATAACCAGTGACTTAGGGAAAAAGACCTGATCATTTTGTTTCCTGGTGTCAAGTTCTTCAGTGGTTTATTGTAGACGTTCAGATAAATCCACGCTCCTGAAGCCAGGTACAAGGCCCTTCGTAATGTTATTCCTGCCTCATTGGCATTGACTGGATATTCCCACCCTTTGTCACCATGGTACTGCTATGCCAACTATACCCCTCCTTCATGCCCTCTGCCTGCTTATCTGTGTGTCCGAGATTCAGAGCAGGTATTGCCTCCTCTGGGAAGTCTCTTCCGAAGCCACTCTGGGTCGGCTGTCCCTCTGTTGAAGTTCCCCTCACACACAGCGCTACCCTCTGTGTGCTGTCTCCTCCCTGGACCGTGTGAAATTCATCTTACAACTCTGGCACGGAGCACGGGTCTGGGACGCGATGAAGGCTGAATGGGTGGCGGCCTGCCTGAGGGAGTGGGCTGTGGTGTCAGTAGCAGGGACCAGAGAGCTCGTGGGTGTTCAGGATCACATCCTGGCTCAGCTCCTTTCTTGCTGTGTGACCTTGGGCAAGCAACGTAACCTTTCTGTGCTTTTGTTGCTTATGGATAAAATGGGAACAATAATAGTACCTACCCAGTGAGGTTGTTGTGGGGATTCAAGGATTAAATAAAGCACTTAGAACAGCACCTGGCTTGAAATAACTCAGTCTAGGTGGGGGTTCTTACTGCTACATCTGCTGGTTCTCATAACTTTCATTGCTTTTGCTCACAAACACCCCCCTTCCCACTTCATCCCTGACCTTCCACTTTATTTTTTAATGTCTTTAGGGCAAATCCCTCTAGGTAGCTAATTACCTTGATTCTCTGGGGACAAGGATGTGATGAAAAGTACAAAGAGGTTGTTTTCTCAGATCCTGCTCAGGAGTGGTATACTGGCAGATGCAGGAGCATACCACAGATGGCATATCCAGGCTTTACTCTCGTGATTGGCCCACGAACAGTTGATCTGTTATCCTTTTTTTTCCTTTAAGGAAACAAACAAATCTCCAAACAGAGAGATTGATTTTCAGGCAACTACTGCACGATCCAACTTCTGAGCGACACTTAAGATGTGACTCATAGAATGGCTCGGGCCTCTCACTTTCTTCTTATCCTGCAATCATGTTCTTTAAAAACAAAACCTAAGGCCCCAGAGCAAAAAAACAAGCAAAGCCCCACTAGACTGTTATCCCTTCTGAGTTTGTGATACTTGGTTTAGAACCCTTAGATTAGTTCAGAACAGGATTTCATTGCCAGAGTTAACCTCTTTAGGTTCCTTCTTTGGGCTCCGTTTTATTTGGACTCTCGATCCCAGAGTGGACACCTGACCTCCTGACAGGTCCTGGAAGCTGTGTCATGGTGAGTCCTAAGCCATCACTGGCGTGTGGAACTTACAGTGCTGTTTTTCAGGGACAGTGCCACAGTGTCCTCCCAAGCTGTGCCCTCGCCTTCATAGGGTAGCCTCGTCAACACCGTTTGAGATTACTTAGCCCATGTCCTATCTTTGAACTTTTAACTGTTCCATTTCTTCCTATTCTTAAAAGTAAACGTACTGATTCCAAGTATACCAGGAAGTAATGCCATGTAACCCAGTAATACATAATGATAAAATCGGCTTCTAGTTTTAGCTACCTGGTGGTCGATAGTTCCCACCTTAGTGAGCACATCATCTGACTAGTTTCCTGTTTCATCCTGTAAGTGTGTGAGAAAGTATTCTTGGATGTAAAAGATCCAGGAATGTGCAGAATAGACTGAAGAAAGCACCCTTGACTAATCGTATGGTAAATTAATTGCCCAGAGTGCTAATTTTCAGGTTTTTTTTTTTTTCTCGAAAAAGTGTTCATTTGTCATCAAATGAGTGGGTGACTTTGCAAAATATTTAGTAAGAAAGATTATTTTCTTCTGTACCCATAACGACAAGGAGCAGCAATGTAATAACATACCAACGTAGCGGCAGCCGAGGACAGAATGCTAGCAACGAGGAACGAAGGCGGGCCTCCCAGGGCGTGGGATCTGTCGCTAGGGAAGTCTCACTTACAGGTTTGGTTCTCCTAATCCAGCGCGTATACTGTGAGGCAGAGTCTAGGGGTGGGAGAGTTTGAGATCTGGATTTCCTGGCAGATTCTAATGACTTAAAAAAACCTCAGTGTGACCAGTGAATAACCCTGGGCCAGAGCCCAATGGTTTCTTAAGCTGTGTTTTGGACGCCATACACGGAACTCGTCCTATAGATCTACTGCTCAGCCTGGAGCTTGTCCCCACATTTGGGTTCTCTGGAGAGGTTGGGAATGCCTCAAGTAAAACTCAAGAAAGACACAGTCCTTGAATATTTGTCACCCAGAAATGCCTCCCCCAGCCAATCCATAAATCACTCAAGTCATCCAAGCTTTGCCACACCCCCCAACCTCTGGCAGGACAGTACTGAGTCGGGAATTTGTTGGGACCTCTGGTAGACCAGTAGGCTGCGGCTGTCCGTGCACATTTCACTGGGAGAGAGCATGTTGAGACCTGCTCTGTGGGGCCGGGTCTCCCAGGAGCCTGAAAAGGGGATGTATTTTCATAACAATGTGTGGACGCTGTATTCTGAAGGGACATGAGCAAAAATGCACTTCCGTGACTCTAATGATATTTTTGTCATTCGTTTTCTGAGTGTCTTGTACAACTCGCTTATAAATCACATGCACGCACTTTGTAGAGGGTTAGTTGGGGTGGAGACGGAGGCAGAACTTCCCGTCTTCTCTGCTCTTACACACGTGCACACACACATGCACACAGCGTGTGCACACTAGTTGAGATCCACACGGTGTCCTCACCGCCGGCGTGGCCGTGGGCTCATGGTAGATTCTCAGTCTGCGCTTCCTGGGCATGATTGGGTCAAGGTGACTCAGCTAGTGTGAAGCTGGACACAAGACCTGTCCCTGTGGTCCTGGTCCAGTGTCCCTTGTGGAAGGCCAGAGCCACGCTGCTCCATGAAGACATCTGGTCGTCAGGCTACAGATGTTGGAACCCATAGGGCTCTGGGGAGCTTGTGACTCCTGGTGCCATGTTAGGGCTGAGGGGTCATATGCTCTGGACTGAATGGGGTAAGTGAGCCATTGTGCTTACCATCTGCATGAGCTCCTCCTCCTCTTCCTCCTTCTCACAGTGGATCCCTTTATATCCGTGGCTCCCCATGGCCCGCTGTTCTCCATGCGGTCCACTGAGATATCCCACCTCCTTGAGGGTTTGCAGAAACACCACACTGGGTCCTTTAACAGTGCCAGTCTACCCTTTGGTTTCAGACACTTGGAGACAGAAAACCTAGAGCTTGAAGGGGTGAGCAAACCCCCAAGCTCTGATCCGTGCTTCCGGTTCAAGTCGGTCACAGTGCTGTGGATCACTGTGCTCGCTCAGCGTGCGTGGGCTTACCGCCCGCTGTGTGTCAGGCACTGAGCTCTAGTCGGGGACACAGTGTCAACAAGACTGACGGGCCCTGCCTCACAGAGCTGGCCACCCAGCCTGGAGGACAGAGCTGGCACGTGGCCACCGGGCTGGAAGCTTGCGGAAGCAGGGACCGTAGAGTTGGCTCCCCATTGTTCTCCCAGCCCCAGCATGGTGGGCACAGAACAGGCGCCCGGGCCACGCTGATAGGAAGGGCAGACTGGAAGA